GGCATCGCCTGGGAAGGTTCTCTCTGGTCACAGTAAATTTTTTTCCTAAAAGCAGTTTCACTTGAACTTTGTTTTAATGTGATATCCCCAGTGGTTCTCAACCTTCCTAATGCCAAGACCCTTTAATACAGTTCCTCATGTTGTGGTGACCCCCAACCATAAAATTATTTGTGTTGCTACTTCATAACTGTAATTGTGCTACTACTGTTATGAATCATAATGTAAAGATCTGATATGCAGGATGTAGTTTCATTGTTACAAATTGAACATAATTAAAGCATAGTTATGAATCACTATGCTTTATGTAGTTATATATTGTGAAATATTTCTAATGACATATAAATGAAATTTTGTCTTGAAGCATGGTATAGCATGGATAACAGTCTTCACACCGGGTCCTCCTATGTGGGCGTATCTGCATGTGGGTGGAGATGGATTGAGGAGTGGTGTCTCGGTTCCTAAGATCATTGGAAATATGTGTTTTCCAATGGCCTTAGGTGACCCCTCTGAAAGAGTCGTTTGACCCCAAAGGGGTCAACACTCACCGGTTGAGAACCGCTGTTATAGCCGATTTCAGATAACAGCATGTGGCTGTGAGATTTTGTTTTCTGCTCGGGGTAAATGCCCGGAAACTGTTGTGATGTTGAACACAGCTTACAAGGACAGTGCTATGGGAAAAACTCAAGTGTATGAGTGGTTTTCTTGTTTCTTGAAAGATGGAAATGTCAACTGATGACAAACCTCATTCTGGATGTCTGTCAACTTCCCAAATGGATGAAAATGTCTACAAAATTAGTGCACTTGTGCTCAAAGACTGACAATATACCATTGAAGAGATGGGGAAGTTATCTGGACTATCTTGGAGCTCTGTTCAGTGAATTTTAATGGAAGATTTGGGAATAAGAAGGGTCTTCCAAATGTATGTCTCAGGTTCTGACTGACCACAAACAAAGAGTGTTGACTGGAAACGTGCTGTGCTTTGAAAGAACAGCTTCGAAACGACCCAGACTTTTTTCCCCACGGTCATTAGTAGTGATGAGACTTGGTGCTATTCTTATGACCCGGAAAACAAACATTAATCAAGCAAGCAAAATCACCTTGGCACCATCACCTTGCCCCTCAAAAGTTTTTCAAGTGATATCAAAGATCAAGACAAAAGCTCATTAAGTGAAGTCAAAGATCAAGACAATGCTCATTTGTTTTTGTTTTTTGATGTGAGGGGGATCGTGCCTTTGGAGTTCATTCCACCAGGTCAGACTGTTAATCAAGCTTTCTATTTAGAGGTTCTGAAAAGATTGCATAACGGTGTGTGACAGAAAAGGCCTGATTTGTGGCAGATGGGGGACTGGTTTTGCCAGAATGACCTGCTCACACAGCCATCATAGTGCCCCAGTTTTGGGCAAAAGAAAAATCATGCCTTTCTTGCCCCATGCACCTTACTCACCTACCTCACTCCATGCAACTTCTTTTTGTTTCTGCAAATGCAGAGGAACATGAAAGGACTGAAGAGGTGAAGAAAAAACTGAGGGAGATGCTGTCAGCCATCCAAATAGATGAGTTTGAAAAATGTTTCCATGAATGGAATCGCACATTTGATAAGAATGTATTAAGTGTAATGGAGAGTACTTTGAAGGGAATAAGATTGTTTTGTAAAAAAAAAAAAAAATTAATTCATAGCTTTGAAAAAGATTTCAGTTTGTTGGGGGACCCCCTTGTATAGCTAACTCTCTTTCACTCACTGCTAACTGAAAAAAATGAAGGTTCACATTCATCTGGAGGCACTCAGAAGAAAGACCTGGCGTTCTTCTTTAGAAAGATCAACATTGCATGTCCTCTGGAGCACTGCTGTACTGTGACACACATGGATGGAATCACCCTGAGCTGGGAGTCCATTCAGTGCCAGCTATTACAGAATGTATGTTGTTCTGAATTACAAATGCTTATCATATAAATGAATATGATTTATAATAGAGAAAATCTTTTTAAAAAACAAGCAGCTCCAAAACAATCAGCACCTTAAGTATGGTGTTAAAAACAGAAGTAGCTATGTGAAAGCATATTATGAAATATACCGTTTAGGAATAGGTAAGTGATCCCTGAGGGTATGGGCAGCGATAAACAGGAACGTTAGATATGATAGTTCCTGGGGAGCAGAATGGGGGGGGGCGGCGAAGCAGTAAGGCATAAGGTCATTGATTTTCTTTCAGTTTTTTCTCCACCTGTTTGACTTTAAGCGTGTATGTGTGTCATCTTTGTGTTTTTAAGTCATCTTGACAATCCATCTCAGGCTTGGTACACAGCCGAGTCCCACTTCCTACCCACTACTACATCTTGCAGTAGACTAATCTTCAATGATGACTCTTCTGTTTCTAAGGCTGCACAGTATTTTTTTAATGATTTAATATGTTCTGTGCCCTCTACTTCATTAGGGAAGAATGCAGATGAACACATTTTAGAGATGTTCTTTGTAAAGTTGAAACAAAAGGGGATCGTGCACCAGGAAATTAAATTAACCAAACATTTCTCGGAGTCTTCTGGTTGATTGATGGACATGATTCCTATGCCTCCATCAAGCCCAAAGGGCTTGCTTAACTCAGTGGTTCTCCACCTTCCTCATGCCGCGCGACCCTTTCATACAGTCCCTCATGTGGTGGTGACCCCCCAACCATAACATTATTTTTGTTGCTGCTTCATTACTGTCATTTTGCTACTCTTATGAATTGGTATGTGAAAGAGTCATTCGATCCCCCAATTGGGTCACAACCCACAAGTTGAGAACCGCTGCCTTAACTGTTATGGATTGATCGTAAAGATCATAACAAATTATATGGTTAGGCTGCCAAGGGGACCCTTGTGACTGATTCTCAGAGGAGCAGATATTGCGGTATGACCTGCTTTCAAAATGAACAAAACAATCCTACATTTTCATGATTAATCCAAGCTTTTCGTAGATTTTTTTAAATGAACTAGACCTGAAAGAAAAAATGCTTCCAGAAAGTTAATTCCACCTAACTGCATCTGATACATAAAATACTGTGATGCAATGTTAACAGAGTTTGGGGTTGGTTGGCTGGTCAATTGATTAACATGTTTAAATAATTAAATCTCTGTTACCTTAAGCATAAGACGGATATATAATGCTTAAGGTTTGAGCTGGTGTTTTTAAGTATGATAGGGATAAGTGAAACATCATCTAAAGAAAGCAAAACAGCATTACATTGGGGAAATTTTCTCACCCTGGAGTTAATTGGAATGGCATATTATTAACACGGTCATATTTTAATTGGCTGGGGCAGCATTGACATGTAACTAGTAATCCACCAGATTGACTTTAACCCATTAATAAGCGTACTCTGTTATTCATTATTTCAAATAATTAGTGAGCATGTATATGCAGGCTATTATGACAGTTCTGGGTAGAGATTCAAGGCCATGGGGAGGCACTGTGGGCATAGGCCTGACAATCTTACTTCCAAAAAGATAGCCATTGGATACCCAAGTAGTAGCCAGTGCTACTCGCATACACATGAAGTCATCATGAGGTGGATGGAGCCAACTCTATGGTAACTGGTGGTTGCTGGGTCCAGGAAGGCAGTCCTGAGCAAGACAGGGATAATTCCCACATCAGATCGCTTATCATCCAGTGGGGAAGGCAGAGATCAGCCAGGAAATTGACTTGACTTGAAAATCACCTGTATTGTGAGGGGAGAAGCCCAACCAGGCCTTGAGAACGCATAGCAAGAGGACTGAATCATCCACTCAAAATATAAGGCAGGCGTCTCCGATTTCTTGGTGCAGCCACCTTCCTCGGAGCAGAAAATCGCACAGCAAGTACCGAGTCCTTAGTTGTCTGGGTGGCTGAGCAGGGACAAACTCTCGTGCCTGAATGCGGCACCCAGGAAGCATCGTCTCCCTGAGAGAGGCAGCTTCTGTTGGCTGGTTTTCATGGCAAAGTCCTTGTAAGCTTTGCTTCCCAAGTGGCTTCATTACGGATGACGCTGATCAGTGGTGATGGCAGCATGTCCCAGAATGACTGGGGGGCAGGGGAGGTGGGGAGCGGTGGCTTTATGGATCGCTCTTTAGACAGGTAGCATAGCTAGTCTAGGTTAGCCTGCTCCCACCCTGGATATGTTGTTGCCGTGTGCCATTGAGTTGATGCCGACTCATAGCAACCCTCTAGGGCAAGGTTTTCCTAAAGTGAATTTTTTGTAGAAGCAAAACTCCAGATCTTGCCTTCTGCAGAGCTGTGTGAGTCCCGAACCACCAACCTTCCAATTAGCAGCTGAAATCATCGTACCACCAGGTCTCCTAACCGGAGTAAAGGTACCAGTATTGCAGCACCAAGTAATTCCAGAGGAGTTCCTCAAACGAATCTGGAATGCACCTAGATTCATTCCATGGGGATAGACCATGTAAGACAGTGGTGCTCAACCTTCCTAAGGCCGCGACCCTTTCATACTGTTCTTCATGTGGTGACCCCCAACCATCACATTATGTTCGTGGCCACTTCATCACTGTCATTTTGCTACTATTATGAATCGTCATGTAACTATCTGATAGGCAGGATGTATTTTCATTGTTACAGATTGAACATGAAAGCATGGTGATTCATCACAAAAACAATATGTCATTCTGTATTGTGGAATATTTATTTCTAGTGACAAAGAAATGAAATGTTGTCTTGAAGCCTGGTGTCCATGGGTAACAGTCTTCACGCTGGGTCCTCGTATGTGGGCATATCTGCGTGGGGGCGGACCAGGAGACGGATAGAGGAGCCGTGTCTCGGTTCCTAAAACCATCGGAAATATGTGTTTTGTGATGGGCTTAGGCGACCCCTGTGAAAGGGTCGTTCGATACACACACACCATAGGGGTCGCGACCCACAGGTTGAGAACCGCTGATTCTACACCAGTGTGAAGTTCTAGTTGCGAACAAGCTGTGCGCCTGCGCGGTGAGTGTACCTTCGTCCTGCTCACACAATTGGGCGTCCTCTCTTTCAGAATGTCCTCATCGTGGAGGTAAGCAGCTTTTCCATCTTTGGAAGATGACAGCACCTCAGGGTGAGTTTTGACACAGAGCGCTTGTTAACAAGTGGTCCAAGGTCCACCCTGTGGACGCCAGGCCTCGCCGAACTCACCGGGAATTGGACTGGAGGCGCTGCCGTCGGAGGGAGCTGCGTGTCTGGGGCTCTGTGAGTCCGGGATTTTAGATAAGAGGAAACGAGCCCCGGGACCCTGTTCACAGGATGGTCGTAACAACAAGAAGGATCTGTCCTTGACCGCGTGCTCCTGCGAGTGACTGACCGTGAATCTGAGCATCAAAATACTACACACGATCGCTTTAAAAGCTGGCACTCCCAGAGACCGTTCTGGTTCAATGTAATTTGTTTTTCTGCTCAAAATGAATTGTTTTAGAAGGGGCAGGAGAGCGGAGGCGGCGGCCGGCTGGCGGCGGGGAGCGGTGTGTTGGGGAGCAGGTCTGTCTTATCAGCTGGCGCACGACCCGCAGCTCCTCCGGGTCAGTGTAACCCGCCCAGGAGACCCTGCCGCCCAAGGATTGCACAACCTGGCTCACTTCAGCCCTGTTTGGACAATCAGCCCCGCACTGAAGACAATGCATTCCGGCTGCCGGCAGGCTCTCATTGCGTAATTGCTCGGGCTGGCCGCGCGCGCGCCCCCGCACCCCTCGGAACTCAAGTGCACTTCACCAGCTGCTGTCCAGACGTCCCTTGCCGCCCAGCCGCAGGCACCCCCATTGAGTGGGGAGCCTCCGGGGGAGGGGGAGGGGGGGAGCGTTTATCCATTCAGTGCATTCAGATGAACGCCCTGCGTCCATGAAAATTCATGCCTCTTGTATTGTGCTGCATAACCTTAGGGCCAAATCGAGCCCTTGAACGTGCAGGCGCCAAGTCCGGGCGGAATCAAAGAGGAAGGGAGCCCCACGTGCGCTCCAAAGGCAGGGTTTCGCCCCGCATCTGGCACAGCTGAAGAAGCTGGGGAGGAAATACTCAGCAAGAGATCCCCCCCCACCCAACCCAAGCCCAGCTCCCAGAAACATCTGCCTTAAAAAAAAAATGTATGAGCAATTCTGTCTCCTAGCTGCCTCCAATTGGATGACATTTCGAATTATGATGCTTAGGAAATCAGGTCTCTGGTTGAAAAAAATCTGTGAATGTTGGCCTCATGGTTTCTGTGTGTGTTCTCCGCGCAGGATGTCGTAGGGACCGGAAGGACCATGAAAGCGTTACTGGGCAGTATCGAGAAATACAAGCCCAATATGGTTAAGGTAGCCAGGTGAGTAGGGCCTTTGCAGCTTCCTTATTTCCGTGCCCCACACAGTCCTACGAGGATGCCTACACAGAATGTCATTGTCACCGGTATCTGACATCTGGTTGGCCCCTAATCTCCTGGGGACCTCAGGCACAACCAGAAGAAAGGTTGCAGGGTTCCTACCTGTTCCCCATCACGTGCAGATTGGGACCACTGTAATCTTGGCTGAGTTCTCAAAAGTTCTCAAAGGTAGCTCTCCAGGCCTTTCCTCCTAGTCTCTCATAGTCGTAAAGCTCTGCTGAAACTTTTCAGAGCAGCACCCCTCAGGGTGCATTGGCAGGAATCGAACCTACCTGAGACGGCAGCTGGGGATGGGAGAAGTCCATTGAGCCACTGCCTTCCCGAGCCAGTGACTGTTGTCTGGGGGCTGGTAGGTTGAGCGGAAAGGGAGGAGGAAACACGTGTTCCGTGAGCCCCGCTTACTCGGTGCCCACTAGCCTTTTCCAGGAGTAGCTTGGTGAGAGGGCTCCCAAACACAGGCCTTCTTCTTTTCATCCAGGATCACTCTGTGGGGTCCCAGTCTCCAGAGGACGGATTAAAGAGGGCACTGGTGACGCCCCTCCTGCCCCTGTGCTCATTTAAAATGCATATTGTAATGATGTTTAATTATACTTCCAACCCACCAAGACTTTATTTCCAATGCTGAGTGTTGTTTCCTTTGTACATCATAGTTTGTTGGTGAAGAGGACACCTCGAAGTGAAGGCTTTAAACCAGACTGTAAGTGTGATTTGGTTCTTGTCTATTTATCGGTGGTCTTATCTTGTTTGATGTGAAAGAATCTTTGATTTCCTTTTTTTTTAAATTTAACAAACAAATGTATTTCCTCGCAGGATATACTCTGCAGGTGGGTTTGAAGTGGTTTCCTATTTGATGGCTGTCTGTGGGAAATAGAAGCTATGCAGGGGCCCGCGGATCCCTGGTATTGTTCCCCACCTAGTAGGAAGGAGTAGGGGTGCAGGGTTCTCAGGAACTCTGTGCTGTGCATTGCCTACAGGGGTGCTTCAAAAGAGCACGTGGGGAAATGGACTTGTAACGATCATGGAATTTTCCCACGCACTTTCTGAAGCCTTCTCATGGTTTTATTTTCAAGCCTTCTAAGGCACCCTCGCTCCCAGGAGCGAATCAGTCCCCAAGCGGGTGGAGGAAGACTTGACCTGCTGGACTCACGCAGCTACATCATCAGTGCCCCCATTCCCACCAACCAAACCCAGAGAGGTGTGGGGCGGTTCCACAAGGTTCAGGGTCCGTCCTCAGGAATTGTTGTCCCGCAGTGCGCACTGGGGACCTTCAGCAATCCTGAACACCAGCACCCAGAAGCCAAAGTCCCTGCCATCTCCAAACCAAAGCTCCACCACACAGAGAATTAAGCCCACGAATAGCCCTTCACACTGTCCCTTGGCCCTGATCCGTCACACTTGGCTTCAGGCGTGTGTTTTGGAGAGCTTCCCTCATCTGGGGCTCACTTTCCCACCACCCCGCCATACCAGGAATAGTTCTGAAGCCGAAAAAGAGAAACAAGCAGCTTGGCTTATTTATAGTCCCACACTAGAAGGGTTTTGTTGTTGTTGTTATTGTTGTTGTTTTGCACTCACATAGGCAGACTTAGTTCGCTTCTCATAACTTACATTTGCTCCAAAGCTGCTGGGGCACTTCGGCTACAGTTCTCAGCAAACTGAACAAACCCTGGAGCCAGAGAAGCACCATGCGATGGGCAACGTGCCAGCAGACACTTAACTTAGCCCGTGACTCTGCTTGCTAAATCCAAGTCCCTGCCCAGTGCTGGGCCTGTCACTCTAAACCGCTTAGGTCTGGGCAGACCCACCCATGAGCACCTTCCGGTCCCTGACTGGTTGGGGGCATGGAATCCGGATGCAGTCGGTGGTGGATAGCGAAACAAATCTGCTAAGGAAATAATGTAAGGTACCTGCGACATGGGTAAGATTTCTCACTGAGGTTGGAAAGCATTCGTTTCACAGGTGGCCAGTTCATTACAGATGTCTTGAGTCTCTCGGCAACGGCATTAAGAGAGTAATGTCAGCGAGCACAGTTGAAAGGCTGTGATATACCTCGCTCTGTGCTGACTGCTAAGCAGAGGCCATCCTTGCTTACCCCTCACAACAGTCCTCTAACTCAGGCCCGACTGTTAAGTTCTCTTGACAGCTGCGGGAATTGAACACCGCAAGGTGGGTTGCTTGCCTTGCTAAGTGGAGGGAAAGAATGGCAGTCCAGCAGTCTGATGGTAGTCAGTCTCTCTGTCTGTCTCTCCCTCCAACACCTGCAAGTGACACCTGCTATTGCTAATAAAGAGCAGGACCCACACCCGTTACCAGCCAGGGACCAGTCAGTCTGCTTCCCTACTGTTCACCTGTCACCTGTCCTTTTCTTGTCTCATGCCACCCTAAGTCGCCATGCTCGCTATAGGGATTGCCCTGCTTTGGGGGGGGGGGGGGCGGAGTTGTTAATATTACAACCAGGGTTTTGTTTGCCATTTGCTCAGATTCTTTTTCCGCTCACTCCGGATCTTTGTTTTCGTTCCCTCTCTGGATTTCTGAGGCTTTGTGTTTTGGGCCCGTTCCTACACTCGCATTGTCATCTCTGACCCTTGCTCTTCTGCACTGGCTTCTCTGTGATTGTTTTTGTCTCCACAGTCCACAGTTTTGTTTGTTTGTATTTTTTTTAATTTTTTTTTCAGTCCACAGTGCTAATAAAACCGAAAGACTCACTGCCACTGAGTCACTGCCAACTCCCAGAGAGCCTACAACACAGGGTAGAACTGCCCCTGTGCGTTTCTGAGAGTGCAACTCTAAAGAGTAGAGGACAGAAAGCTCCGTCCCACCCCTAGAGAACCAGCCCCTGGCCTCCGGCAGTGTCTGGGAGCAGGAACCATGTGGATTCTCCATGCGAAAGTATCTTTGATTAGAGGATTCAAAATGGCGCTGTTGGTAGCCATGGAGATAACTGTCTCCATGCTGTAAATCCACTGCCCGTACCAAAGGGCAGTGTCACAAAAGGAAGTGCATCCCAATGGATGGATGTGTGGATTGTGATAAGAGTTGTACGAGCCCCCAATAAAATGAGGAAAAAAAACCTTTCCTCTGCACCTACCCCGGGACTGATTCCAATCAAGCCACCAAAATGTTCCATGTCTCAAGTCCTCACCGTATAAAGTGGAGATAATTGTATCAAAATCACATCGCTTGTAAATATGGAATAACATATTAAATTGCTTATAAATATGGAAGAATTAAATTGCCTGTAAATATGGAATAATATATTAAATTGCTTGTAAATATGGAATCATATATTAAATATCTAATACATGTTGTGAAAAAGAAAAAAAGGAAGTGCGTCCCTGGGGTGAGCAGATGGAAGACTCCAGATAGCTGTAGGCAGGTTTGAGGGGTCAATGGTCCCTTCGCACATGTAGTCCCGGTTCCAAGCCGTCTAGAAGAGAGCTAGCTAGCGTCTGTTCTGCAAGCTTCCTTTTCCAGGAAAAAATCTTCCTCCTTTTCATAAATTGTTTCTGTGCTTCGCCTAACTACCTCATACTGCCTTTAAATCCATTTCCCCTCATCCTGCCCTCCCTCAGCAGAGATAAAGTAAGCACTAATTAATCTCTGCATTGTGGACCCCCAGGCCACCTTTAAGATAACCCTTAGCATTGCTAGATTTTGCTGCTCCGCCCTTGAACCAGTAGCTGACACTGAACGTGTTGGGAAGATTGCTTCCTTACCTCTTCATGTCTTGACCTGCAGCCCAGGCCTCTTGTCTGAACTGCCCTTTATGCTTTTCGAAGTGTTTCTGTTGGCATTATATCATTAGCTACTGCTTGCTTTGGGACATCGGCGCTGCAGGGCTAACTCATTCTTATTTCTGGTTATCCACGGGGCTTCCCGGGCCCTGTTTCAACTCTGTGGACTCCTCGTTCTTCCCTGCATGCTTGCTTCGTTGTCTTGCCTGTCTGGGTAGTGAGTCAACCTCAGGTTCCTGGCCGCTGGCCCTGCGCATCACTGACCACTGGAGTAACTTCCTTCTGCCTCAAGGAAAAGTCGTCACAGTTTGAGTGACAAGAACGTACGGGAGCTTTGAATGTGCACTATCTAAATGCTGCCTTGTTTTTGTTTTCTCCTCTCCCCCTGCTAAGATGCTGGGTTTGAAATTCCAGACTTATTTGTGGTGGGTTATGCCTTAGACTACAATGAATACTTCAGAGATCTGAATGTAAGTTTTGCATGTTCACCCACCCCCTCGCGTCCTTCTCAAACGAGCATAACAGTGATTTAACAATGGAACCTCCTAATACACACACAAGGCTTCCATTTATTATCATCTGTGGAGTACGGGCACGCTCAATGAACTCTCACCACCGCCCTGCAAAATAGGTATTAGGCTAATGGAAGGAAGCCCTGGCTGTCTTTCTTTTGTACTAAAGAGATAAGGAAATTAACAACAGGGTGATAGCATAATACTGACCTTTCCCCTGAGGCATTGACTGTGCCCACCCTTCATAAAAATAGTCAGTGTGCTTTCAAACTATTGTGTCTCGGTGCTTGCAGTCTAGAAGGTACCGACCGCAGTGGCATGCAGCTCCCAACAATTCCTTCTTCAGGGAAAAGAGTTTCTGCCAGCCAGCAGGACCCTGAGTGTGTAGGCTAAACAATCTAACCAACCCAGACTGAGCTAGCTGTCAGCAGCTTAGCCAGAGTGGACCCATCAGCCTCTCTGTCCTGGGAAGGAAAAACACAAACCCAGAGCCACAGAGGCCCAGGGCTGTTGGACTTCTACTGAGCATGCTCCACAGAGAAGGTCCACAGCCACTGGGGGCTGAAGCTCCTGGGAGGGATTACCCTTGTTCCTGCTGACCAGCTGCTTCATTGTCCGCTCTTGGTTTGCTTCTGTGAACCACCCAAGGATTCCACAAGGAATGCCCAGTTTGTGCTTACGGTAGCCTGACTCAGTGTCCCTCGCCACCAACATATAAGGGGACACCCCCCAAAACACGGATTTAAAAAAAAAATTTCCAAAGCTACTTTTTACAAAACAACCTTATCACCGTCAAGTACTCTCCATTGCACTTAATACATTTGTCAAATCTGCGATTCCATTCTTGAAAACGTTTTTCAAACTCATCTGTTTGGATGGCTGACTGCACCTCCCTGATGTTTGTTCTTCACCTCTTCTACGTCATCAAATTGCTGTCCGTTCATGTCCTATTCATTCCCAGAAACAAAAAGAAGCCTCATGGAGCGAGATCAGGTGAGTAAGGTGCGTGGGGAAAGAAAGGCATGCTGGGATTGTTTTTTGCCCCAAACTGGCGCCCTGAGATGGCTGCGTGAGCAGGTGCATTGTCGTGGTGGCAAGGCCAATCCCCCGTCTGCCACAAATCAGGCCTTTTGTGTCACACACTGTTACGCAGCCTTTTCAGAACCGCGCAATAGAACGCTTGATGAGCAGTCGGACCTGGTGGAATGAACTCCAAAGGCGCTATCTCCCCCCGCCTCAAAACCAAATGAGCATCGTCTTGATCTTTGATTTCACTTGACAAACTTGTCTTGATCTTTGAAATCACTTGACAAACTTTTGGGGGGCAACGTGATGGTGGCATCTTCCATTGGCTTGATTGATGTTTGCTTTCAGGGTCAAAAGAATTGCACCAAGTCTCATCACCAGTAATGACCTTGGAAAAAAATCTGGGTCTCTTCCGAGGTGTTCTTTCAGAGCACAGCAAGTTTCCAGCCAACGCTCCTTTTCCTGGTCAGTCAGAACCTGAGACACAAATTTCACAGTGACCTTTCTCATTCCCAAATCTTCCATTACAATTCGCCGAACAGCGCTCCAAGACAGTCCAGATAACTTCCCCATCTCTTCAATGACGTATTGTCCGTCTTCGAGCACACCTGCATGACTTTTGTTGACATTTTTGTCTGTTCGGGAAATTGACGTGTGTCCAAAAGGAGGTTTGTCATCAATCAACATCTCACCTTTTTGGAAATGAGAAAATCACTCATATACTTGAGTTTTTCTCGTAGCGCTGTCCTTGTAAGCTGTGTTCAACATCACAACAGTTTCTGTGGCACTTTTCCCAAGCGGGGAACAAAATTTCACAGTCGCACACTGTTCTCTGAAATCAGCCATCACAAAAAACAGCCCTAGCAAAACTACTTTTATGACAAATTTACTATGACCAGAGAGAACCTTCCCAGGCGACGCTACTGGGTGCACTAACTCAGAGCAAGTTGTTGGATGCTCACCTAGTGGGGGAAAATCCGTACTACAAAAGCTCCACCCAGCAGTGCTTTCTCCACTTTTTTGTTGTTTGTTTGTTTGTGTGTGTGTGGGGGGGTACTCCCTTGTATCCCAGACACATTTCTTGTCCCCCACCCCCAGAAAAGAATCAATACATGTTCATGTTGACCCCTATTATTTCTTCTTATCAGAGAAGTTGCAACTTCACCAACAGGGGACGCTCCATCTCCAGCAGGGCAAAACGTGCAGCTTCCTCAGCATCTCTGGTTTGTAGGAACCTGGGAAGCCAAATTCCAAAACAAGTTCAAAACCCACACAGCAAAGGACTTTTTTGATTGGTTCTTGAATGGGCCTCTGTAGATTGTATGCACACATAAAATGTGTGTATGTATATTACCTATAAGGTATATCTGTCTATCGTGTGTTTGCATAGAGGAAACTTCAGACAGTTCATGGAAGCACAGGATTGAAAGATAACGGAATTTTCCCTCGAATGTTTTGAAGCCTCAGTGTGTGTGTGTGTGTGTGTGTGTGTGTGTGTGTTAACAAATAACCAGTTACAGAACAGGATTCTGTTATTGCTGCCTCACATTTTCTGTGCATCCTATTTTGGTCCAGGGCTGATGGCTTTAAATCCTTTATCGTTTCAGCACATCTGCGTGATCAACGAACATGGGAAAGAAAAATACCGCATCTAAAGCAGGAAATTCCCACTGTCGAGTTTCCAGGCAACATCAGATTTAGAAGGCACTTGGAAAGCCAGCGTGTAAAGTTCACCTCCCTAGATGTCTCACTGTGCAAGATATTACAAAAAAGGAAAGAAAAGAAAGAAATTTTAATATAGACACTTTCATATAAAGAGTACCAACCATTCTTAAGGAAAAGAAGGCTTTTATTTGATTTATTCAAAGTCAAACACTCCACCTGGTGACTCATGAATTCTGTCTACCTTCACACTCCTAGCTAGTTCCACCTTCTTTTGTTTTGATACAGTCATGCTTTCTGACTATTCCCAGGTACACCCCCCCCCCCTCCGCACAGTAACTCAAATATTTCTCCCTTAACCTTTCTGGTTTTTTACACTATCCTGGTCATATTTTACCATCTAACAGTCTGGAACAGTCTGAAGTCCTGAGCCCATGTGCTGATAATGCCACGAGGTTCCCATGATAAAATGTGGAGAAAGGACAGCTTGATGTAAGTTTCTGTTTGTCCATTTCTGACAGGCTGTCCCGATCTGCTTTTGACAAAAGCTCTGTGGATCACAGTATGAGATGCATCCTAGTGAGATGCATTTCCGGGCGGGGTTGATGGTCTATTGTGCCTGGATGTACTCAACTGTGTTTAATACTCTGCATTTTAATTAGAAATAATACAATGGTGGCAGGACCCTGCTTTGTAAGCTGCATCCTCTGATTCATGTGCACTAGGAGCAAATGGCAGAATTTTTAAGTATTTTCTTTTAATGACAGGCAGGGGAGTAACTCTAAATGTTTGCAGTGAGGCAACTCTATGTGTTTCCTCCTGACTGCTTCAAAAGACAAGGCAGTCCTGTTACATCTTGTCCTGAGACCAAGAGCACAGAGGTTGGGTCATTTTATTTCATTTCATTGTTTAATGTCCTGTTGCAGTGTCCACACGATCCAAGGCACAGATCAAGCAAGCGCACTTTGGAAAACCTTTTTCTGAATGACATTTTCCTCCCCTCGTCCACTTTCACTGCTTCCTTGGGAGCAGTGCTTCTCAACTGTGGAGACTTCCCACCGAAGGGAAGCTCTCAGAAGGTCAACCGAGCTACAGGGAGCAAGTACAAAACCCTAACAAGCAGCTTTGTTTGCGTCTGAACCGTGTAGAACGCATTGTTATTGGGTGCTGTCTTCCTTTAAACTAATAAAGGATAAGGAAACGTGTTTCAGAACTACTGTTTTTCTTCCACCTTCATGTTTTTTATATACTTCCAGCCCTTAAAAAGTGTGTAAGCCAGTAGCTTAAATATACTACCTATATTAGCCTATAGCTACCCCGTGGCTTTATTTCTGTTAACCTGGATGAAATCCAATGTGTGCACTAGAATAAACAGATTAAGCCAGACATCATCAGCTGTGGTTTGGGTTTGTTTTTATTTTTCTCCTTCCTAAACTTGTCTAGAAGAGAGAGGACGTTTAGCTTAAAAGAAGATTTTCTGGAAGTGGGGGGATGAGGAGCTGCTATCAAGGGCTTAAGTAAAAAATGCTTTGAAAATGATAATGGCAACATATGAACAAATGTGCTTGACACGATGGATGGATGGATGGATGGATAGATTGTGATAACAGCTGTAAGAGCCCCCAATTAAATGATTTTTTTTAATCCTCCATTGGACCAAAAGAAAAAAGATTTTTCTTCCCTCGCTTAGTTCCAGTCAAAGAAGAAAGCAAACCACACCCATATCCCAAGAAGGAACCTAGGAAGAGAATCCCCTCTGGCACTGTTCCGGAGCAAAGTCTGTGCCCCGGACGGTGCTGGGTGGCGCAAAGCGGCGCTGCTAACCACGCGGCCAGCAGCTCGACCCCACCAGCAGCAGCACTGGCTGAAGAGGAGACTCTGCTCCCGTTGGAACGAATGGTCTGGAAGACTCGGTCAGCTGTCCCGCCCCGTGAGGTCGTGGCTTAGTCGGAAGTGACGCAATGGCAGCGAGGATTTTTAAAAACAACTGCCAATGTCTCAGAACTTTAAAACTAATCTCCTAAATAGAAGTGTACAGGATATGCTATTTATTTCAGAGGGCATAGAGAACCTAGACACGTATTTGGTAATAATCAAGTGTTGATGATTATATACTTTTCCATCAAATGTGCATTATTATAAATATTTCTTAAAACTTGTTTTAGTAAACATCTGTTGTTCTGAAGATTGGATGTTTGTTCAAATTACAAGGAAGTTGATCTGCTTCACAGATTTTTGAGAAGAACGTGTAGTAGTTAATGCTGATAAAGAAAAATACTTTAAATACACAAATGGTTTAATCATCCCGTTATCTTTTCCACTCAAACAATGTTTGGAGAATGATATCCAAGTCCCTAACCTACTTTTTCCCTTTCTCATACAAAACTCTAGTTTATTCAATACTACTAAGTTTGTTTACCTTAAAATAAAATGTGAATATATTGAGTGAATTTATTCAGTTAGTATTCTAAAGCTGATCAGTTAGGAATAAAAACCAAGTATGTGTATTTGTGAGACAGAGAGAGAGATTGGGAAATTTGGTTTCAATCAGACCCTCTATAATTTGTAATACTTTGGAAATTTTCAAATAAATTAGGACTCAGAGTTATATGTTGGCCTTTTTTACACCAACTAAATGTACCCCATGTTGAAGTTTGTGCCCCCTACCAAGAAACCAAATGCAACTCACCATCGTCAAACCGATGCCGACTCCTGGCAACCCCCTGTGGATTTCTGAGACAGTAACTGTTGATGAGAGTAGAAAGCCCGGTCTTTCTCCTGAGGGGCTGCTGGTGGTTTTGAACTGCAGACCTGTGGACCACAGCCCAACGCATCACCACTACACCGCCAGGGCTCCTTTGTACCCCTAAAGTGAACTGCAAGTAGATAAATCATGCGCCTTGTTTAATTTGGGGCTATACCGTGGTTGGCCATGTTTCAAGTCTTTTAGCTCAGTGGTTCTCAACCATCTTAAAGCCACGAGCCTTTCATGCAGCTCCTCATGTGGTGGTGACCCCCCAACCATAACATTACGTTCATTGCCACTTCATCACTATAATTTTGCTACTGTGATGAATCAGGCGACCCCTGTGAAAGGGTCATTCAACCCCCAAAGGGGTTGCAACCCACAGCTTGAGAACCGCTGCTTTAGTCCCAATGGTGAGAGAATGAACATCCCACTTTTAGAGACCTGAGACTCCCCCCCAAAAAAGAAACACACACCCCCCTCACTTTTGTAATAAAGACCATCTGTTGTGGGAAATTACAACTGTAATGAAGCTGCGCCCCTGTTGCCTGGCTCACTTGGCCAGCAAGAGATGGCATTCGGTAGTTGTAGTGCCTCTCCTACCATGAAATTCCTTTGGATTCCAAGGAGATGATGAGGACTGGTGGGGGGCAAGCTGGTTTCAAGAAGGGAGGGAGGGGTTGTGGGAAGGAGATAGGCGCCTGGGTCCTGGAAGGTGTGTGCAGAGATAAGAAAGTGTGTGCGTGACAAAGGCGGCATTGTTTCTTGGCCCTGGTCCTATCCCAGGATGAGTTCTAAGTCCCGCGGAAAGAAAGAGATAAAGGCTGAAAGCTGCTTCCATGATAACCTTTGGGCGATACTGTGTGGTAAACCACACTCTTCCCTTCTCAGTGGAGAGCCCAGCAGAGCTCAGTGCAGCAGGGACACTGTAGGAGGCCTGTGTTGGGGTTCTTTGTTAGGCTGGGTTCTCTAGAGGAGTCAAGCATGTCTGGGAAAGAAATGGAGACGGAGAGAGCGAGCAGCCAGCTTTGCTGCAGAAGCAAGAAAGCCCAGGCTGGCTCCAGTCCATGGGGCAGGTGCTAAGCTGGAGGCCGTTCCCATGTCTGCCTGGCTAGCTGCTGGCCCAAGTCATAAGACGCCAGATATAGGCTCTAAGTAGAAGAAGGGAGTTTTCATATATACGGCATAGGCCACACCCCCAACGAGATAGCAGGTTGACCCGAGTAAGGTAAACTGCACCCCAGTCTCCCCACAGCTGCTCAGCTGCTCACAGCAATCCCATCTGGACTTGTTTGCGTTACATTAGGTCACATCCTGGCGAGGACTCACTGCTAAACCACTGAGAATTCTGGCCCAGCCCGGTTGACACAGGCCTTAACTATCACAGGGCTCCCAGGCTTCTCCACCAACGGGGGCCTGCGGCGCTAGAAAGTGTGTCCGTCCCCAAGATGATGCTTAAGAGAAAATTCTGGAGACTGAATCAGACATCCTTTCTGGAAACTCGGCAGCCGTGTCGACTCGCAGCCGATGATGCTGGTCACACCCTGAGGAGGACACCCTGGAGGGGCCCAAGGAGGAAAGAGCCGGACTTGAAACCCACCTGCAACACCCAGAAGAAGAGCCTTTTTCGGATCATTCCACTCAGAAGGTGGTAGTTTGGTGGTGGGGTGGTGTTTTGTTGGCAATTTATCAGCCTAGAGGGGATGTCTTTTTTCCTGCCAAGGCAAACTCGGCTCCGAAATAAGTAGAGGAGAATGTGAAAACAGGGTGGAGTGCTGGACTCTTACATTTTCCAAATAGGAGAAGCAAGCCTGAAATGTGTGACTGTGACCTCATTCGTAGCCCGAGCCCAGTGGGTGTTGACTAGTGTCTATGCCATTAGTGTGGACTGAGTCTGTAACAACTCCTTTGAGAAACCTGGCTGGGGAGAGACAAGACAAAAGGCTCAGCGGGTTTTGCTTTGTTTTGTTTTATTTTTTGTAATGAGAGAGGGAGGTGTGCGTATTGATTTGCTGTAGGGAAAAAAAAAACGTAGAAAGGGGGAGTTTGAGTGATTGATTGCTGTGTAGCAGATGACCCCACGATGCAGGAGCGTAGATCAACAATAATCCTTTGTTACCTCGTGGTTTGCAAGAGTCAGGAATTTGGACAGGACCTAGTGAGGCTGGCTTGCTCATGCTCCGTGACAGCGGATCTCATATCTGGTGTGTGTATATAGCATATATATATATGCTCTATAATATAGATATATATATATTATATAGCATGAGCTTGCTCATGCTCCGTGACAGTGGTTCTCATATGTGGTGTATGTATATAGCATATATATATGCTCTCTCTATATA